TGGAGGCAGCGCGGCGAGTGGCGCCAGCGCACCTGGACAATCTGCCACGTTCTCCACTGAGATGTCTTGCATCGAGAGATGTGCACCTTTCGCCTATCTAGAGTCAAAGACGAGCTCGGAATTTGGTGCTGTGGTTTCACGTCAAAGTTCCGTGAGGCTGTTCGGGCCGAGTGTCAAGTGTGGAGAGCTATCGCGCGAGATGTGTGCTGCGGAGGCCTGCAAAGAGTCCCCCGAGCTCTGGGGGCAGCCGGCCTGCATGCACCTTAGAGTGGCACTCTTCTTGTTTGTACAACTTGTATCCTCGTGCAATCTGCATCAGTTTGTAATTTGTATGACCGAAGTTGTTGAACTTTCACGCCCTGCAGCTTGGGTGTCTTTAGGTACCCCCGAGCCCGGGATCTGTGGTCCAGGCCAGCAGTGCACTTGCTATTTGAGAGCTGGGCACTCGAACTCGCGTTGGCTTGCCTTCCCTTCAACGTGTCCTGGCAGCCTCAGCGCTCCCGCGATGAGTCGGTGAACGTAGCCAAGGCCAGGACGGCATGCAACAGACGCCATCGCAAGGAAGGGTGGTGTACATGCCTATATTGCATGCCTTACTTCACACGTATACACTTGGAAATCGTTGCGAAGCTCGAGAGGCACTTCTCTCGAATCAGGAGGCATTACTCCTCCGGGAAAGAGTCTACAGCCGTATCCCCGTGCATGTGTCAACCCGTCAAGAAGCTCCTTGTCACCTACCCATGCTAATCAAAGTCAACAAGCGAACAGCTATCCCAGCCTAGAAGACACACGGCAATGCTTGGACCGGCCTCTTGGGATGGTTGGGTAGCTGGGTAGCCGACCTCCATCCCCAGCAGCTGCATATGCTCGTAGGCACTCGACCTGGGGTTCGATGTTGATGAGCCCGCACCCCAGTCTTGCACGGTTGTCGGTTGTCATGCTCGAGTTGGGCAAAGAGTCGCCTGGACAGCGACGAATGACGCTCTTGGTCATGAGCATCACCAGCACGTGAGCATGCCTGCCTTGCTTGGTTCTTGGGGCGCTGGGACAAGCAACGCGGAAGACACTGTCGTTCGGGCATGCTGGAACTCTCCCTTTGGACATGAATGCCAGAGCCCTGTTTGTGCTGGTAACGACGTAATTGTCGCTTAGGCATGTGGATGTTCTGGTCCTGCACAGACATTGTTCGGGCATGGATGCTTTGGTTCTGTTTGTGCGGGGAACAATGGCGCAATCAAAATGTTGGCATGGATGTAACATTTGCATTCCACAGTCGCTGTTTTGCTGCATTCTTGTGCATTTTGGTGCGGTCTGTGGGCCGGGCCCCAGCTCCTCCAAGCGGTTCGGGTGGTCTCACAAAGGAAGCGAGGGGGGGTTGGACCCAGATCCTGGTTTGCTATGTTCCAGATGCCTCCTGGCCGGAAGCCGAGGCGTGCTGCAATGTCAAACATGTTTGGATACGCCGAATGATTGTTTAGATGCATGATGGTATTTCATACATCAACGAAAAACACAATAAATTCACGAACCAAAAATTCACGACAAGACCATCCATGTGTTGCAAGAGTTATTTGTATTGAATATCGTGGTTTTATCAACGTGCCAAGTGGCAATCATGGATACACGAATATATCTATATATATATATATATATATATTTAATGGCTACCGCCAGTGCCGCCGACCCCTCAACCTGATGCTCCGCGCAAACCGGACAAGAACAAGGATGGCAGGCCATCTTTCGACGAATTCGCAGAGGCAGGAGGAGAGTGAGCGGTCTACGGTTTAGGGTTTAGGGTTTCGGGTTTAGGGCCTAGGGTTTAGGGCTTAGGGTTTAGGGCTTAGGGTTGAGCGTTCAGGGTTTCAAGGGCATTAGGAGGGCTTAGTCGGTAGTGTGCTGAGAGGCCATCCGCGACCGGGGCAGGGGGGGGGGGGTATATGCACTTATATATACCGGGTCCGGTATATGCTGGACCGTGGTGTGCCTACACTTCCGGGTTCGATGAAAGCTCCGGACCGTGGTTTATACATAATTATACAGAACACTAATATACCGGGTCCGGTGCATGCTGGACCGTGGTGTGCATACACTTCCGGGTTCGGTGAAAGCTCCGGACCGTGGCTTAAGCACATAGACATATACATAACACTTATATACCGGGTCCAGTAGATGCTGGACCGTGGTGTGCATACACTTCCGGGTCTTGTCCACTGGAGGGGGGGGGTGGGGGGGTGGGGTGGGGGGTGGGGGGGGGTGGGGGGGTGGGAGGGAAGGGGGGTGGGGGAGCGGAGCGGGCGGAGCACGGAGCAAGTTGGGGGGGGTGGGTGGGGGGGGGGGTGTGGGGGGGGGGGGTGGGGGAGGGAAGGGGGGGGGGAGCGGAGGGGGCGGAGCAAGCCCTTCAAAGCCAGTCTGCGAAAGTCAGTCATGGGGTGGGGGGGGGTGGGGGGGGGTGGGGGGGGGGGTGGGGGGGGGTGGGGGGGCGTGGGGGTGGGGGGGCGTGGGGGGGGGGGGGTGGGGTGGGGGGGGGGTGGGAAGGGGGGGGGAGCGGAGGGGGCGGAGGTGCACTGGAGCCCTTCAAAGTCAGTCTTTAAAGTCAGTCATCTGATCGAGTGGAGTGGAATGGTTGGGAAGGGTGGTTGGTGGTGGGAGGGTTAGGGGCGGGAAGGGCGGGGCACGGACTGGGGCCTTTTAAAATCAGCTTAAGGTGCGGGAGGGAAGGGGGGTGGGGGAGCGGAGCGGGCGGAGCAAGCGGAGGGGGCGGGCATGCACTGGAGCCCTTTTAAAGTCAGTCTTTAAAGTCAGTCATCTAGGGCGGGGGGGGGGTGGGTGGGGGGGGGGGGTGCGGGGGCGGGTGGCGGGGTGGGGGGGAGGGGGCGGGCATGCACTGCAGCCCTTCTTTGTCAGTCTGAAAGTCAGTCATGGGGGGGTGGGGGGGGGTGGGGGGGTGGGGTGGGGGGTGGGGGGGGGGGGGGTGGCGAGCCCTTCAAAGCCAGTCTTGAAAGTCAGTCATGGGGGGGTGGGGGGGGGGGTGGGGGGGGGGGTGGGGGGGGGGGGGGGGGGCGGGGTGGGGGGGGTGGGGGGGGGGGGGGGGGGTGGGGTGGGGTGGGGGGGTGGGGGGGGGGTTGGTGGGGAAGGGGGGGGGAGCGGAGGGGGCGGAGGAAGAGGGGGCGGGCATGCACTGGAGCCCTTTAAAGTCAGTCTTTAAAGACAGTCATCTGATCGAGTGGGGAAGGGGTAGGGGAGGAGGATGGAGTGGAATGGTTGGGAAGGGTGGTTGGTGGTGGGAGGGTTAGGGGCGGGAAGGGCGGGGCACGGACTGGGGCCTTTTAAAATCAGCTTAAGGTGCGGGGTTACGCCGACGCCATGGAGTCTTCACTAGCGCCTCCCCCGCTCAAAGCTGGGGTCGGCGGATATGGTATGTTCAGGAGTTGTAGTGAACATGTATTTGTTATCCGAAACAGCCTAGGGCCTAGAGTTTGTGTAAATCTGAGCTTCTCTTACTTGTATTCAAGAGTGTCCTCAACACATTTCACAGAACATGTAGGGGAGCCCCCCGCTGCCATTCGTAACAAAAGTATGATGACAGTTCTCTTGCTTGTCATGAAGTGCTAGGGGAGCTTCTCACCCTGGATAAGGCAGTCGAAAGTGGGTTGGCACGTGGTTGTCGGCTAGCCAGGGGCGGCCTTTCGGAACGTTTCTTGAGTACGTGCTCCCGCTTGAAGACGGATAGTTTCCTGGCATTTTCACACTTCAGACTGCCAGGGCGCCCGTGTACCTAGGGTTTAAAGGGGGGTTCACGACACTCCGCAAAGTGCCCAGCAGCTGTCCTTCCTTTGTTCATCACTCCGAGGCTTGGCATCTCCGATCAGCTGGGAGCCCAGCGATCCTGTGGAGGTCCCTTGCGCCAGTGTGTTGCAACAGGTCATCTATCTGTTTGACTCGGGTGAACGTATGTCACGATGGGCGTAGTGGAGTTGCATCAAAGGGCAAGGTGTTGATCCAGACCACTCCATGCTTAGGCGGGAAGGAGAAAGCTTCTACGAGGTCGGGATAGGAGATGCAAGGAGCATGTGTCGTGTTTCCCCCCATTCTCGCACTGGCCTTTCAGCACACAAGGTGCCAAGCCGTCAAAGGCCCAGCAGCGTTCGAGCAGGTTTGCGGCGTGTGTTGCTGGAGCGTGGCAACAGTAATGTGGAGTGCTGGAAAGCTCCAACAATGCGTGCTTTGGAGCTTTGGAGGAAGCGCGGCGAGTGGCGCCAGTGCACCTGGACAGCTCGCCACGTTCTCCACTGAGATGTCATCGAGAGATGCGCGCCTTTCGCCTATCTAGAGTCAAAGACGAGCTCGGAAGTTGGTGCTGTGGTTTCATGTCAAAGTTCCGTGGGGCTGTTCGGGCCGAGTGTCAAGTGTGGAGAGCTATCTCGCGAGCTGTGTGTGCTACGAAGGCCTGCAAAGAGTCCTCCGAGCTCTGGGGGTAGCCGGCCTGCATGCACCTTAGAGTGGCACTCTTCTTGTTTGTGCAATCTGCGTCAATGTGTATGACCACAAAGAATAAGCCGTTGAGTTTTCACGAGCTTGGGTGTCTTTAGGTACCCCCGAGCCCGGGACCTGTGGTCCAGGTCAGCAGTGCACTTGCGATTTGGGAGCTGGGTAGTCTGGCTACGTGCTCACTTGCACATGTCAGAAGACACTCAAACTCGCATTGGCCTGCCTGCCCTTCCACGTGTCCTGGCAGCCTCAGCGCTCCCGCGATTCGGCCGAGTCGGTGAACGTGGCCAAGGCGCCATCGCAAGCAGATCACAAGTGATGCGCATCCTTTGCTTCGAGATGTTGATGCATGAACTCTGTTCTTTGGAATCTATAACGCAGCTGCATCCTTGTGGGTGGAGTGGTGGTGGGAGTGGCGGGAGTGCCCGGAGTGCTTCCGAACCCCTTTCTCGAAGGCGGAGGGTCCCCAGCCTGCCCCCAGCCTGCCCCCAGCCTGCCCCAAAGTGCCCATCATGAACGAGGGCAGATCCCGTGCGCCCAGTCCAGTTTCACGAGCTGTGCTGCCTGCAGAGACAGCAGCGCTGAACAGGGCCATCGCTGCGTGTCGACGCGAAGGAGCATGGCTTCAGGCTATTGCCTTTCTGCATGACTCTGGACAAGCACACCTGGAACCAGACATAGTTACATACAACTCTACCATCAGTGTGTTGAGGGGGCAATGGCGAAGGGCCTTTGTGCTCCTAGAAGACCTAGAATCGCACCTGCAGGCCGATGTGATAACTGTCTCTTCCGCCATAAAATGTTGTGAGCATTCATGCTGGCTGCATGCCCTTCTGGTCCTGGATGATCATGCAAGCAACAGCTTGCAAGCTGACATTATTGCCTACAGCAGCATTGTCAGTGTCTGCGAGAAGGCAAGGCAGTGGTGTCAAGCTCTGTGTGTCTTGGAGAAGCTGCTGCAACCGAAGCTGCGAGCTGATGCGACCCGCTTGCAGAAAGCGGTTCTCTTTGTGCTTTTCTGTGCCATGGTGCACCTGCAGAGCGCAGGCGCACGCAGATGCAGAGTACAGTAGCCTGTGGGAAGTCGAGAAGGCTTGCGGGATTGCATTGCTAGCATAGATGATAGGTGGATTTCACATCGCTGATCTCCCAGGTCATTGTCTTCAACGCGACAATCAGCGCTTGTGCAAAAGTTGGCCACTGGGAGCATGCCCTTCTTCTGGTACATGCATTGGGTGTGGTGGCGCTTCAGCCAGATGACATCAGCTTCTGTGGAGTCACCAGTGCTTGTGAGAAGGCGTCTGAGTGGCAGCGTGCTCTGCACCTGCTTGGTACTAGTGCTCTGATGCATCTGCAGCCTGGCTTGATCATGTACAATGCTTCGATTAGCTCTTGCGCGAATGCGGCTGAATGGGAACAAGCCATGAGGCTCTTGAGCAGGGCCGAGAGACAAAGGGTACAAGTTGACATCATCACATGCAACGCGGTTCTCAGTGCTTGCGAAAAGGCCGCTGAATATCAGCAGGCTCTACTGTTGTTAAAGCAGGTTCGGCACAGACGCTTGGAGCCTACGATTGTTACATTCAGCGCAGCAATCAGCTCTTGTGAGAAGGCATCAGAATGGGCACAGGCGCTATCATTCATGATGCGATCTGAGAGAGAGCAGCTGCAGACGAATTTGATCACCGTCAACTCAGCCGTAAGTGCCTGCGAGAAAGCAGCCGATTGGCAACGTGCGCACAGCCTGCTTTGCGACCATGCAGACTCGAAGGTGGAACCCGACTTCATTACCTACAGCGCGGTGATAGGGTCCTGTGATCGCGCCGGAGAATGGCAGCAAGCACTCTGGCTGTTGAACGTTGCTGAGGCTGAAGACGTGCAAATCGGCCGGGTTGCCTACCATTCCGCCATCAATGCATGCGAGAAAGTTGGTGCTTGGCAGCATGCTCTGTCTGTTCTGCAGAGATTGACGGAGCGAAGCTTGCGGCCATCTCTTCCGTCCTACAATGCATGTATATCTGCATGTGAGAAGGCCACAATGTGGTACATGGGCGTTGTGCTACTTCAAGACATTGAGTTCCGGCAGTTGAAAGCAGACGTAGTTAGCCATAGTGCAGTCATGGGTAGTCTTGGGAGAGCAGCCCAGTGGCAGCAAGCTCTGCATCTTCTGTCCGAGATGGGGGGCTTGCTTGTGCAAGCAGATGCTGTCACCTTTACGGGAGTGCTTGCAGCACTGGATATTGCTGCGAAGCTCCTGCACGCCCAGCAGGTTCTAGAGCGTGTGGAAGCCGATGCTTGGAGAGTCCTGAGGAGTCTCTGCAAAAGAAAATGCCAGCTTCCTCAGCACAATGTAGTCATGTAAATCAGGTATTTAGTGCAGTCTGTGAACAATGCCACCTGTACCTAAACGGCAGGGAACACCCGTGAATTCAGAAGGACATGTCGCATTCCCAGACATGTGTTGCCTTGAAGGCAAAGAGCAAGAGCAAATCGCCGAGCGGTTCGGAGGCTGGGCGGAGCTGAGTTCCTGTGATGGCACAGCAGAGTGTGCTACAGTGTGCTCATGTTTGCTCATTTGTGTGGCGTATGTTGGTGGCTTCAGGTTCCGGCTCTTGGTGGTGTCAACTTGCAGGCTCTCAGCTCGGACTGATTGCGGGTCTGCGCCCAGCATTTGTCTCTATTAGATGTGTCTCTCCAGGTCTCTTTTTTTAGGTTTTTTCTTCCCGGTCCTCTCCCTTTCTCATTCCTCTTTGCCTTCTTCACTCTGTTTACATCTCTCTTTCTCCTTCACTCTACGAGGCTCACTCGTCTGTTGCTCTTCTGTTGGTGTTTCCCTGTCCCTCTCTCTCTCGCTCTCCCTCTCGCTCTCTGGCCGTCTGTTTGTGTTCCTCCCTGACAGTCTCTGTCTCTCTGTCGAATGACTGTCACAAGTATCTTCTACATCACTCCTGAAAATTTCTCTGGAGCATTGGTTTGCAAGTTTCGTTCTGGCTTTCCTTTGTCCCCTTCCCGCTCGCTCCCGCTCCGCTGGTTCCATTTCCTTCTTCCCAGGCCGCGCATCACTCCACACAATCCCGTCCTGTCCACACCTTGGCTTACTGACTGTATTGACTTTGGTGACTTTTGTGTGATGTGGTGTCAGGGTGGCAAGGGTGATTATCTCAGGTGCCACATGCCGACAGAGCAGAGACAGTGCTTGAACCTCGAAGTCCATTTCCATGAGTTGCATGAAGCCTTTCATGAGCCTTCGCCGACTTTGGGTTGAAGAGCTTGAGGTATGCGTCGCGGGTTACCGCGCAAGCAGAGCACCAGGCCCCAAGCCGTCCTGCCCCAGCTGCGTCCCGTGGCGAAGACTTGACAGGTCCACGTGGCGCATGCGCCGTCTGCTGGCGCACTGCTTCTGCCTCCCATGCTGGGGCCTTGCTGCAATTGACTGTATATTCGTCGCATTTTGGACCTGGCCTCCAAGGAGGCAGTTTATGTACTTCTGCTCCTCCGCCCCTCGTCCTTCACCTTTGCATCTGTTCGGCTTCCTCTTCCTCACTACAGTGAGTAGTAACTGTCCTGCGAAAGCATGTGCCATGACCTTCGGGAAGATCGGTACTGGGTAGTGGGGTCCGACAGTCGGAGTGCTGGATTCGGCCAGATCTCGAACTCCTCCTAAATCTCCTCTCTGGCTGGAATCCTCTTGCTTGCGTCGCTCGCCGTTCTGATTCTCTGCTGTTGCTAAAGACAGCGATTGGGCTGACGCGAGGTGGACTTTCTCATCAAGCTTGTCAACCCATGTGCTAGGAAATGCATGCAGCTTGCCGCAGCTCAAGCTCGTGGCGAAGAACTTGCGCGCCAACTTGACTTCGCACGGCTACCATACTATACTCAACAGGAAAATTTAAAACCTTGGAAATGCATCAAGGATGTGTCTGTGCGCGAAGTGTTGGTGAAGTACCCTACGGCCTTGCTGAGTTGATGCGCTAAAAGTGGTGTTCGCAAGCTTCAGCAGCGATGGAAGAGGGCTGCCCCCCACATTGGCCAAGAAGCTCTGCACATCAGTTCGGTCGCTTCCTCGCTTTGTGCAGGCTTCTAGGAGGATTTCACTCGCGCGAGAAGGTGCAGAGTAATTGAAGCTCTGTAATTCACGCCCTCCCCACCAAACAGCAGATTCCGTACCGCCTCTCATGACTCTTCTTTGCTAACTAGACATGTAATGTAGGGTCGTGTCTGGCCCTGAAATTTTGGCATCGTGGTGCGTTCCATGTCGCAACCGAGGGTGGAAGCGGCCACGCCTGGGGGCGGTCGCAGCACCCCGTCCTCAGAAAAGGACCTGTCCTTCGCGGTTGACCCTGCAGCACGCGGCCAAGAGGTCTCAGTCAAGCATCTGACCAAAACAAAGCCAGATGCTGCAAGGCTCTGGGAGGTCCGAGTTTCCCAGCTTACCCTCCGCTTGGTAGCGCACCCTCGCACGATCTGCCCGGGAGCCCGACCACATCTGAACACATCTGAACTCGGGCATTGGGGCAAGCTATGGCAAGATCCAATCCAGGCTGCTTCAGCTTGCCCAGGCCAAGGCGAAGGTGCGCCGGGTAACTTGGTAGCTCTGGGGCAGCGGCAACTTTGTCTTGTCTTGTCTGCACAGGTGAAGCACCTCGAGTTGCAGCTCGAGGCGCTCCGAGGGCATGATGTGTGCAGACAGGAGAGTCATGGACAGTTTTGGACTCCGCATCCCGCTTTCTTCCCTCCTCGCTTGGGGTGTGGGAGGTTTTGAAGTTCTGGGGAGAGAGAGCGACAGTGAAAGCGAGAGAGAGGGAGAGAGAGAGAGAGAGAGAGACAGAAGGAAGAGAGAGAGACACATCGCATGGAACATGCCCGTCGAAGCAATTTTGTTTCGTGCTCGGTTTATGTCTGATCACTGCACATCTTAAGTCGGAGCCGAAGCACGTGCCTGCATTGACATTGGCATGGATGCACTGTGCGTTGTCCATGATGGGCCCGGAAAGCGATCAATAGCTTTGGGTGGGTTGGGTTCAGAGCGGTTGAGGGCTGTTCAGGCGGAAGCTCGAAAGGCCACACTTCAAAAAAAAAACAATTCCGGTTGAAACCTTTAATCGCCCACGAGGCTTGCGGCTTGCTCTTGCTTGTTCCGAGGACTGCGAGCAGCGCTGGCAACGACGCTTCGAGGACGCAAAGCGCCAGGAGGATGCGGGCCATGCACGTCCGGGCTCTCAGTCCCTGGTCACACTGCGTCAGCTAGATGTGTGAGCTACTGTGAGACCATTCGAGCGACCATTCGTGGGCTTGCCACATTGATTTTCAGGCATGGAGTTGCAGTGCCGGTACCTGGAAGCCGAGCTCGATCGATGCAAGGAGCGCAATCGCAAAGCCCCTCCTTCGAAGAATCGAACAGCAGAACAGCAAGGAAGTTTGCTGGCCAGGAAGTGCATGCCAGCGAGATGCGGCACTTCCAAGAGCAGAAGCGACTTCTTGTCCAAAGTGCAGGGCTCATTGGTCCAGTTGGGGTTTTTTGGCATACAGGGTACAGTCGGCTCCGCTTCCAGTGACCCAGGTCATACGACAGAAGTTGAGGATGCGCGGCGCGAAGAGCGGCGGAAGGCGAGCTGACAACGATCGCAGCGCAGTCTTTTCTGCGGACTTGGTGGGCACAATTTACACTACAGCGCAGCAGCAGCAGCAGCAGCAGCAGCAGCAGCAGCAGCAGCAGCAGCAGCAGCAGCAGCAGCAGCAGCAGGAGCAGGAGCAGGAGCAGGAGCAGGAGCAGGAGCAGGAGCAGGAAGCATGATGTAAATGGATTGATGCAGCCCCTGCGTTGAGCTTCGCTGATTGCTAAGCCAATAGATTTTTTGAGGAGAAGCCCGGAACGGCTGCCTATGCAGAATCTACTCTAACAACTTCAGGCTCTGCATGTGACGGCCAGGGCGGAAAGATCGCAACACCTAAACAGAAGCTGTCTGCTCTAGGGCTTATGTGGAACTATCCATGATAGGTTGTTCCATTTTTAACCAAAAAAAGATGCTTCTCCAAAACAACTTTCAACCAACTTGCCAATCAACACCATTCCACACAAAGCGCATAATGCGCCACCAACTATGAGACAAGATAACTAGTCCTGTTGCTGTACTGGGCCTTGAGGGTCTCAGTGCCCTGACCAGGCTCAAGCCGAGATCGAGAAGGCGTGCTGTCATGTGCTGTCCTACTCGTAGCTTGATTGCTGGCCTGGTCATGGTGCAACGTTCCTTTTGCCAGTCTTTTGGTCGTTGCAAGAGGTGAAGTCCGACTGCAGACTCGAGTTGGAGGAGCAGACTCGCAGTGTTGTGCAGTTCGACTGCTGCGGCGACCGGCTAATGCCTAAGTGTGCGGCACTTTTGCCCGCAGGAGCAGCAGCGAAAGCACGAGCGGTCAGTTTCCATCGTGAAACAGCAGTCCGACATCGAGGTGGGCACGCTGGTGGACCATCCTGCGCTAAAGATGTCATGCGCACGTAGACAGGCAGAGAGCCTCCGCCGGGCTCATACGGGAGAGCATCACCTCACCAAGCTTGTGGAGCAGGCCAAGACTGCCAAGACTTCGAGGGAACTGTGGCTTGTCAATGCTTGTCATATGTTACACGTAGAGCATCTATGCATAGCATGACCTGCAAGGTGCAGGGCTCCGTGGCCGAAGTGGAGCGACTTAGCATAGCGCTTACAGACATCGACGCGGGAGGATGGTAAAACTGCTCTTGCTCGGGCATGCTCTTCAGTTTCTGAGGCAAGCGCGTAGATACTGACAAAAGCCTGGAGTGGTGATCCTGGCCTGAGTTGAGCGCAAACTGTATGCCGAGTACTAGTACGAAGGATACGGAGGGCAGTGCTTGCAAGGGAGTGATATGGAGACCTCTGCCAGGTCGGTTCGCGAGCGGCAGTTAGAAGCAAGAGAGAAGAATGCTCGTGAGTTGGAGGCAGGGACGACCACGAGCACGGGAGTGCTCAACTTCCATGCACATGATGCCAATAGTCTGTGAGGCGCAGCTCACTCGGCAAAGCAAAGAGGTAGAACAGCAACGGCGACGTTTGCCCTGGCCTGAGGTGCTGCGTGGCGACACATACTAGTTGGAACACATCAGTTTCGAAACCCGAACCCTTGAGACCACTGCCTTAAACCCTATGAGCCCGAAGAGACCTGAACTCGCCATCAAGCGCCACAAGATGCGCCACAACGCGCAAGACACGAATTGCAGCGCAGATTCTGAAGAGAAGAGATCCGAAAATTCCACAATCAGCCAGTTCTAATAACGAATCGGCAGCGCTGCGATCAGCGAAAACCCCCTCAAGCCCATCAGTTCCCGAAATCCTAACTCTACAACCGACATTAACGAAGTCCAGAAACCTTGAGCAATAAGCCCCAACATCAGAAACCCGCAGCCCTCACCGTCAAAGCCCGAAACACGTACACCGCAAACAAAACCTGGAAAGCATCAGCCCTAAAGCATCACCCTAAAGACACTGAGCCCTGACCCTGCAAAGCTTAAACGACACCTGAAGCCCTAGATTTAAACCCCAAGCTCTTTTCCTTGAAAGCCGTCAAGCCACAACCATCGAAATCCCACACCATAGGCATGAGAACCTTAAACCCTAGATGAAGACGGCGGTGAAGGCACAGGTTTAGTAAGGGCTGTGTGAACATGTTGGCCCCAACGCCCTGACGTCCACAAAAGGAATGTGGGACAGGGTGACGATTCAGTGAGACCATCGGCTCGAAAGGTCTGACGATCCCCCAACTTGCTGCACAGAGCTCACACCTCTTCGCCGCCCAAGACACGCCTGCTTGGAAACCAGCGTCTCACGTCTCCCGGCAAGCGGTGCCGTCGTCGCCATCGCAGCTCCCGTCCAGTCCATGGCAGCAAGCGTCCGGTTTTGCAGTGATTTTTCTGATGGAGTCCTCCAAGCGATCAGCGCTTGGCACTCATAACGTAAACACACCTTTTGTAATGCATTGCTTCTGCGCACCCCATGTTGTGCATGGTCCCATAGGTTTGTTGGGCATCAGAACCTAAACAAGTCACTTTGGGCACGGGCTTAGGGCGGTGTGGATGTGTGCCACACCGATCTGATTGGCGGCAGTCTTTCTTGTGCACATAACATTCCTTAACCGTCGGGATGCATCTTAATGCAAAAATGACATTCGGCAGACGAACTCTAGGAAATCCATGCTAAGCGGATCGTGCGAGCGGTGAGGAGCCGATGAGTCGATCCATATGCGACTGGCAAGGCATCGTAGCAACACGTTTCAGATCCACGGCCTGATACGGACACAAAGAAGAGACCACGATGATGGGGAATGCTTTAGTCTCAAACGTGTGTGAGACAGCATGAATGTCGGAATGTCGTGATTGGTTTTAGGAAACATTTTTTTCGCGCAGCTTGCTTCTTCTTGTCGTGGTCGGCTGCCCATCCTAGTTAAGATAGTATGTGGTGCGCTGTGTTGGCCCCTTTTCTGACACGCGCTACCAGTCAGAAAGTAGAGGTGTAGAATGATCCTGGCGGGTGCCCTGTTTGAGTAGGGCGTTTATGTCGCTGTGTCATGTATCACATGTCGAGGTCTGATCTGGTCACCAACCTGAGAAGTTCTCAGGCGCTTTGCTTGCATCACTCGCTACTTCGCACCAGCAGTTTGTGGTGGTGTCTTGTTCGCAATATGCGAAAACATTTTGGGATTGCTGCAGGAAGATGATGCTTCTGCCATGGCAGCCGACCGTGAGCGATTGCAGGCCTTCCCACCAGTTCCGTTCCTTGAATTCTTTATATGCCACTGCCACTGGAGAAAGCCATTTTTTTGTGGCTCTCTGGATGCAGGCTGAGCATCAGCGCCTGCTCGATTTGCAGCAAAGCGTACGGGATGTTCGGTGCCAAGCCAATGTGTAGTATGTGTTGTGGATCTGTGGATGGTAAAATGTGCAAAGTGGATCTTCGACTTGTTAGGCCGAGTGTGAAGCAAGTCGTATAGTGCTGGTAGCTGTCGAAGCATGTCGGAGCCGAAGGAACACAATGGACATGGAGTTGCTGCAAAGTTGGAAGGGCAAAGATGCTGGAACTTGAGGGTTCACTCTGGGCAATTCAGGCTGCCACGTTAAAGGTCACTATCGGGGGTGGTCGCCCGAGAGATCAGCAAAAAGCCATGAGAGAGGTTGGCACCGCCACATCCCTGATCAGAGAGAGGGTTGTCAGTCAAGGCCTTGTCGATACAGGGCCCTCAACCTGAACAAGCCCTGAGGGAATCTAAGCTGAGTTGATGCAGAAGGGGCGGGAAGATACGGGACCGCAATAATGTAGACAAAGTGCCGCCCTCAGGCCGATCGCAACAACAAGGAAGCCATGAAACACGCTTGGGCCCAGGCACCAGCTGTTGTGGTCATGGCTTTTCGTGGCTTTGTGCTTGGGTGACAAGTAGTGGGAATGTGCTTGCGTAGGTGGAAGAAGAGCGAAGAAGCCTTCAAGAGCAACAAGTCCGTTTGGACAGCGAGCTGGCTCCTCATGCGCTGGCTCAAGAGATAGGCGCTGCTTGCGGACTTTGAAGGTGTTACATGCTGCTTGGACATCCCCAAGTCGGCAATAGCACCTCCAACCCGTTCCTGCGAGAGGCAGTAGTTTCACCTTTCACAATGCACTGTTAGCTGGCCCACGGCTTGGATCAGCATTGAGGTTGAACGCGCGAAAAGAGGAGTTGGAGGTGCAGGACGGCCAGTCCTCCAAGCTAGAGCTAAGCAGGCTAAGCGTCTTCCTGCCCAGTAGTGGTACTCCTTCAAGACACGACTTCATGGAAGGTTTCTCAAGTCATCGAATCCGGCAGACTTTTTGGCCATGCTGGCCAGGAGCATCGCCTGAAGGCCGAAACAGAGCGGCTCAAGTCCTTGCACCAGCAGATCGAGGCCATTCTTTTTGGAGGGCTTTCTCTTGCGCAATAGGAGCTCGAAAGGAGCTCACACTAGAAACGGTTTTCTTCAGCTTGAGCTTCCCCGGAAGCCGAGTTTTTTAGACAGTCGCCACAATGAACCTTCACAGGTGGCACGGCAGAATGCGGCCCGCCGGATTCGGGAGACGGAGTCCACGGTGGCCAATGAGCGCCCGCGGCCTCGGACGGCCCCTCTCGCCCCCCCCCCCCCCCCCCCCCCTTGTTGCCTTCGCGCATAAATAAATTACATACACACATAGATTACATAGTATACATACTATATCACATATATATATATATATATATTCTACTTTTGTCCTGCTATTGCCCTTTTGCTCCATCATCGTTCCGACCATGGCTGCTCTTGTTGGACGGTTCGGGACAAGCGGGACAAGCGGCTTTCTCGCACCGGATGCGCTTGGCACTCTCCTTTTTCTTGGCAACAGATGGGGCATCTGTCAGCTGCAGATGGCCCTGCATATGACTCTTGCCACGCTTGCTGCGCCTATCGCCTGGGTCGGAGCTTGAGTCAGCTGTTCTCAGGGCGCTGCCTCATGAATGACTTGGAGGTGTTCGAGGAGAGGCGCCGACTTTACGCGCAGGAAGTGGGCTCCTTATGCTCCTTCTTGCTGTCGGGCTTTGACCAGCTGAGATCACTCCACCATCTGGGCTCTCAGGCAATGAAGCTGGAGACGGACCGAAAGAGCTTCGAAGAGGCAACCTGTTGCGCTTAGCCTAAGCGCCCTGAGGGTCCAGGCGGACAAGGTACTGTTGAAGACCTCAGCCTTGGCTTGGACATGCAAGCCAGATGTTTCCAATTCGGGACACGAAACTGGACCCCTGCCCACACCCCTGTTGCTCAACCTAACGGTTGGCAAGATACTCCGTGCTCCGCTAGCTCCGGGGAGCTAGCATACGTGACTTTACAATCGGGGCCAAGCAAGCCAACTGAAGGCTCAAGCAGCATCCAAACCATGCACTTCTGAGTGAAAGGGTTGACTTATAATGCATCTCCAAACAAGTGAGGAAGATGTAAACTCAGATCGCTAGGGCTGAGCAGCGTCCAAACCATGTACGGGTCAGCTAGAGGTTTTGACATGTTTGAACCTTCTCGGCACACTGCACTAGCTTTCGTTCCTGCCGTCCCCCGCACTTGTTTTGGTTTGTAGCTGTAGCTACCATGCCCAATATTGATGGTATGGTGTCTCAGATGCAGGAGAAGGAGCAGTTGGAGAGCGACTTACAAAGCATGGGCCTAATGGCACACGAGGTGGAAAGGCCGGGAGAGTATGCAGTCGTTACGGGTCTTACGCAGGGGCGGTCCGAGGGGCTTTGGGGTTTATGGCTTTCTTGGCCTACCCCACCCCCGCCTTCCCTTCTTGAGGGCGTTGGGCTCAGGGTTTATGGCTCTAGACGGGGTTTAGGGCTTGGGGTTTTAAGGCTTGAGAGTTTGGGTGTGTGTGGGGGGGGCGTTGGAGGCGGCGGGGTACCGTTTGGAGGAAGGGGGGAACAGTTTTGGGGGCTATCATGGACCATCGCGGGAAAAGCGGGAAAACAAATCTCTCGGAACAAGTCAGAAAAATGTTTTGCTCAGAAAAGGAAGGCTTCTCTTGTATGAGAGAGTCCGTCTTCGTTTTCGAAAGAAGACAGCTTGTGACAAACAAGGGAGTCATTCCTCTTCTGACAAAGTTCTGGCTACGCTTTTCACAAGCATTCTTGTGAAAAAGACAATGGGCTCCTGCTTTTCTGTAAAGGAGATGTCACAGAGAGCGGCAGCACCTGAATGTCAAGGTCCTTTCTTGCATTTCTGATTGTTGGTACCTCCCGACCCGCCTGTGGCATCGCCCTTTGGTGCGGTGGTGAGTGTTGGGTTTGCCACCCCCTCGTGGTGTGGTGATGTTGTTATTCGGGTCTAGGAATTAGCGTTTTGGGTTCCGGGTTTCATCAAGGTTTGAGGGTTGAGGGTTTAATTCGGGTTCTAGGGCATAGGGTTTAAGAATCCTCGTAGCTGTCGGCACTTTTCGGAACGCGCGAAGAAGATACGAGGCTCTCACAGTGACAGCAGAAACGAGGATGGCGAAGCCAGGCAAAATCCTCGTGGCCGTCGGGTCGGCGCTGTTTTGGAACGTTAAGAAGATGAGACCCTCCAAAGCCACAGCAGTCACGAGGATGTCGAACCCGGGAGCGGATACCACGGGGGGGGGGGGGGTGTATAATTATAATTATAACTATATTTTAAGGGGCTGCGCCCATGGGCGGGCAGCGCAAGCAGAAACGCGGGGCGAGCAGTTTCTAAGCATTTTGAGGCCCCTAAACTCCCTTAAAATCTCTAAGCGTTTGAGGCTCCTCAACCCCCTTAAAGTTTCTAAGCATTTTCAGGCCCCTAAACTCCCTTCAAATCTCTAAGCGTTTGAGGCTCCTAGACTCCCTTAAAGTTTCTAAGCACTTTATAAGGCCCCTAAACTCCCTTTTTCCTAGCCCCGGGCTTAGACACGTCGCTTATGCCCGCCCTTTGGGGGGGCGCCCAGCAAGGCTATTCCCGGGACGACCCGGGTTAAAAGGTCCGCCAATGCTCGGTCCTTGGGGACCTCGCGCTGCCCGATTTTAAGGGGCTGCGTTTAGGGGCCTCAAAATCTCTAAGCGTTTGAGGCTCCTCAACTCCCTTAAAGTTTCTAAGCATTTTCAGGCCCCTAAACTCCCTTCAAATCTCTAAGATCCTAGACGTTTCTAAGCTTTATAAGGCCCCTAAACTCAGCCGCTTATAAGGGGCATCATGCTCCTGATGCGCCCCCGGGGTCCCGCCCCGGGAGCCGCTGATGCTCCTGATGCGCGCCTGGGGGTCCGGGCTGGACCCGCTGATGCTCATGATGCGCGCCCTCTGGGGGCCTCCGTGGCGACGCAAAAAACCACGAAAAAAAAAACCGTTCACCGGGGGCACGCGGGGGTCGGCGGCACTGGCGTCCGGCCTAATTCTGCTTCGCAGAAGGCCGAAGGCTAGCAAGGCTATTGCCGGAACAACCCAACCTAAAAGGTCCGCCAATGCTCGGTCCTTGGGGACCTCGCGCTGCCC